AAGAAGGGCGTGCGCTCCGAGATCGGCGGCTTCGCGGCGCCTGACGTCATCCACTGGGCGACGGGCCTGCCCAAGACTCGCAGCGGCAAAATCATGCGCCGGATCCTCCGAAAGATTGCCGCCAACAAACTGGACGAGCTGGTGAGAAGTTCAGAAGGTTCAGGATCCTGTTTATTTCGTAATGTGTTTCCCGGCTGGGGCCAACTCTGCCCATAAAGAAAGCGAGTTCTAGAAAGGCTCACGCAGTTCAATGCCTTCTGTATTCTTTCCTTTCCAAAGTCGACCAGGGACAGCTTTGTTGCCGTTCTGTTTTTGGAGGCTTTCCTTTATTCGATCTTGGTCAGTCAAGCGTCACCTTGACGGTTTGACCTTTTTTAGGAAATCGATTTTCCCTCGAAATGGTCATTAGCAACAGCTGTCAGAGTTGCCGGCCTTCTTGAACCTCGTGGAAAGCAGGGGAAGCCGGACGGTCGTCCTGATTTACCAACTGAAAGGGAGCCTAAAGACGCATGGTTTGCACAGTCGTTCGACCTGGTGCCGCGCACATCGGCAGGCCAAAGCGCTGAATTCTGCACACTGCTGCATAAGGATTTATCAGTTGCTTCTCGTGACTTGCAAAGAACGCAGACACATTCCAGGCCTAGTAATCCAAGTCGACAAATGTTAACGCGTCCCACTCCTTGGAGTGTTAGCATAATGTTTGGCTGTTGCTCAACTTGCAGGGAGACGTGAGCTCTTTGGCAGATCCCTCTGTCATCGACGCGCTTATCAAGTTGAAAGGAAAGTAATCTTGGTTCTTCGGGAAGTTGGATCGAACGTAAAACTTCAAGGTCATAGATCACGTGGCTTGAAGAGCAGTCGGTCATCTTGTTTTTGCTTATGCTAGCGAAGTCAACGGTAGAAACAAAGAGTGGAAGGTAGGATGAGTCCAGCCGAGCGAAGGCAACAGCTTGATTCGGTCCCATTGTCACTTTGGTCTGCGGCACTCGACGGCCGGGAAACGTAGGCACCATCAGAGAACGTTCAAAGAGGAGCAGAGCTCACATGTACAGTTAAGTCTGCATAGCTTTGTCTTAAGTTAAAAATGGTTAGGTGAATAGGACTAGGTCGTTAATTAGGGTGAGATGTAATTTAGTTCCGTGCATCAAGGTCAGAGGTGCCTATACTAGGAGAGACAGACCACATAGTTGAGAACTCGGAATTTGCAGATCCGACAGTCCCAAGTTGCGTGGTTGGATCAATTCGAGCATATGCACGGGAAACCTCCGACAAGTTGTAGTCGGACTCGACTCAGTCACTTCGATCATCCATTAAATGACGCCCAGCGCAGGACCATGCATGTTAAGGCATGATAATAATCTGGAATATAGATACTAGTCAACGAATCAGAGTGACCGGCTGGGCAAAACTAGCCTGCTCCGCACGGGCAATGGTAGAAGATCCCGAACGTCCAAAATAAAGGTGGGCCGACATGTGCGCACAACAATATCTATTTAATGCGAGCGCGTCGGATTTGGCTGCAGGCTAGTCTTCAATATATAGTATGCAACCTAAAGTAGTGACGGAACAATCTTCGTCACTCTATATTAATACCTATCATAGAATCATTGATACGCTGGCATCCGTGCAAAATAGGGTACTTTGAAGTGGCACCCCCTAATTAGGTATCCTGTTGGGCCGGTCCGGGGGTTTGTGGCCTTTCACTAAGTTGGGGCGCAGCCCCAGCCGGAATGATTTTAGCTGAAGGAACTGCTTTATTGTATACTACGCCGCGAGGAGACTGGGGCCGGGCTGTCCTTATGGAGTGACATGCACAGGTCGAGTTCCAGGAAGGCATTGCACCATGTCAAGAGCTATTCATAGCAGCGATTCTTCGTAACGAACACGAGTGCCAGCCGCATGGCCTGGCCCACGATCGATGATTCTCTAGAATAGTTATATAGTGAGACAACTTAAAATAGTAAGAACGACGCTATTAATACAAAAATAAACCCCAAATAGTCACCCGCTTCGCACCTGTACCCACCCTACCCACCTTACCAACTTCACCCGTCCGGCCCACTGGTACTATATAAGCCATGAGCTTAAATACTATACCCACTCTAGAGACCGATCCGAGATCCAACGACGCACGAGATTGTGACAAACAGCTGACTGAGGCGAATTGACTCAGCCTGGAACCATGGCACCTAACACTCTTTTAACGATCGGCGTCACTTTCCCGAAGCAATGGCTAGCTTCTTCATTTGACATCGTACGACGAAACGAACGGACAAAATCCCGATTGCGGCCACCGCAACCGCGAAGGCTGAAGAGTCCAGCTTGTACTTGACAACGAATGGCATGTCGAGGTCCGCCGTCCGCAAGTGGTCGACCCCAAATTCTGCGACATGCTCGACAAACTCTGCAAAGGAAAGAGCGAACGTCTCAACGTGAGCCTCTACGCGGAGAAGCGTTGACACGTTGGTCCTTCGGTGTGAGTCACAGCCTGGCGAATAAACAAATCACCAAAGCTCCAGAATACTCTCTTTTTCTCCCGATACCTGAGTGGAACCGCCTCGTGCCAAGAAGATCTTGTCATCAGTTTGGTTACTTCGCTCAAGCTGACTGCAGATTGGTTACCTCGCTCAAGGACTGGACAACAAATCTCGACAAACGATAAGGGTTTTGTAACATGCAACTTCCCAACGTGGCAGTTGTAACTCGGCATGTGTATCGCATACGCAGCGTTTTTATATCCTTGTAATCCCGCACAGCCGTGGAGATTGTGAAGTGCTTCGGACAAGGTTGGACAGTTAGCAGTTTGTGTCTACCATTGCGGCAAGTCCTGCAGACAATACGGAATACTCGCAGCTAGCTCCGGTTCGTCCGCCACTTTCAGGGGGACCGATGCTCCGCTTCGACCCCGCTTCGACAGCTCCGATTCCAATCCAAGGCGCCCGGTGAATATCCCTTGAATATCCCCCTTCTTTGAAGCCCTCAGTGGCGGACACAGAATGGATTCAACGGGCAGCAATCTACATCAGCCGGAGAATCGCATTGTCTGTTCTCAAGGGATAGTCTGAAAGGGATTGAAACATACCGGCCGCCTTTGGCGCACCTCCCAGGTACCGAAAGATGCGCGCGATCTTGCGCGCTTTCGCCCGGTAGACGTTCTCCGTGGCCGGGTCTCGCGCGGTCACCGCGCGCACTGCCGCAGAAAGGTCGGCCGGCGTGGCGCGCAGCGGGTGCAGGGTGGGGAAGCCCGCGTGCGCGAGTCGCTGCGCGACGTCGAATTGGTCTGCAAAACGTACACGCTAGTCACATATTTACCACATGGCACACAGGAAGATCCAAATCTTGCGCTCAGTAAATCGCGAGAAAGAAGGCGACACGTCACCTTGTCGTTCTTGGGCTGGATAGAGCGCCACTCAAGGCATCAATCTGGGTTCGAGAATCAATTAAACAAAAATTTACAGGAACATAAACAGGAACTTTTGAAGCAAAAGCCGGTCACAAGGAAGATTGGTATCTTCCCTGCAGGTCCCGCCCCCGCTTCTCTGGTTGATTGGGGAAAACGGGGAGCACATGTCTTCCCCGGCTAAGAGACAGGCGGAGGATATCTTCGATAACTAGCGGGGTACTAACCCACTAGGTAGCGAGTGGGGGAGAAATGCTCAAAGTACATAAGCAAAGGATACGTGCCCACTTACAAAGCGGCGGTCCTCTTTGTATTCGACAAGTTTCTCAAAGAGGGCAGATATGCAGGAAACTCGTACAAGAGCGTTTTTCTCTTTGGTGCTGGGAGGATTCCGACACCGAGTAAGGAGACTCGATGACGTTTCTCGGGCTTTCGGTACAGATGCACAAGTGGGTGCTTACCACCCATTTCAACTTGCGAGAGACCTGCTTCAGACTACTGCTACCAGTTCTTCTCAATCCGAAGCGATTGCTCGACCAACACTCATCAGAGACGTTGCTGCGAAATCAACATGGCTGACGTGTTTCTTGAAGCAATTTGATTTGTTCCGTTCCACGCTGTCTAGGTATGTAGGTAGGAAACGGAATTAGGATTGAGAATGCAAAACCAGCCAACGAAACCCATTATTCGTCAATGGGAACCATCTGAAATCAGTTCAATTGTTGCGGACCGCAGTCAGCTGGGTTCTGCATGACCTCGCGCGTATGCAGACTAACCCTCTCCCTGATTGGTCAAGAGCAGATTGCACGTCAAACTTCGACTACAACCTTGATTTTTACAGCAATTAGTACATCATACATCCATTAATCTGTGAGACTCAAAAGCCCCCAGCAAACCAAACAACCTGAGTTATATTGACTGCCTCAATGAGGTGGTCGTCACGGCATTTTTCTCACCGTACATCACGGGTAGACCAATCGCTGGGATCCCACTCGCCAGAGCCTCCTGCAACAAATCAAAAGTATGGACAAAAATCAAACGCAGCTAACAAAGTCCTGTGAGCATCATCTAAGAAATTCATTCGTCTGGAACAAACTTGCGGATGCGGAACCGATCCCTTACAAAGATACTCTTACGTCGATGACGGACTCCATGGAATCAATTGTCTGCTGAACAGAAGATCAGCGCACGTGCATAGTCGAAGGAAAAGCGACGTCAAGGGCCTCGTGCTTACCACAAGTCTCGACACTATAAACAATAAGCTTCACGAACATTAAGGTCGTTTTACCGAGCATAAACAAAGTAAAAGGCAAATACTCACCCGCTTCGCACCGGAACCCACCCTTATAACCACCACACCAACCCCACCCATCCCCCGGGCTTCACTTTGTTATTCGGGCGGCTTACTATTCTTAGAATCGAGACTAGCTTTTGTGCTCACCTGCACCCCGTTGTTGCCACAGTGCGTAATCATTGCGGCGATGGCGGGGTGGCGCAAGACCTCCCTCTGGGGGATAAACTTCTCCATCCGGAAACTGGGTGGGATCTCGAAGGGCTCGAGAACGCCCCAGGCAGATTCCTTGACCACCCATAGCACGTCCAGGTTTACGTTTCCAAGCCCCTCGATTATGAGCCCGACCATGCCGCGGGTTAGGGGGTTAACCGTGCCTAGGTTAACAAGGACGACAGACGAGGGGCTGTGACCGCTTAACCACGAGTGCAGTTGCGGGGGCACCTCCTGCGTGAATCAGCCCATGAGCGGGCCGGCGTAGATCACCGAAGGCGGCAATGGAACCGGGAAATCAAACCCGGGGCCTGTGTTAATAATGGCTGCCCTGCCGTCATACTCGAAGTAGTTGCTGGGCATTACGGGCAGCTGAACCCCTTGCTCCTCCAGGATCGCCCGCAGTTTCCGGGTCAGGAAGAACGGCTCGACGAAAAGGGCGTCCCTCAGCCTGACGTACTCGTTCCAGAGCCGCTGCCGAGAACGGCCAGGACGGCGCGAGGACGAAGTTCCTCCACGTGTGCACGTAAACCGGAGTGATATTGTACTTCGCCTCCGCGCTCGCGCCGCACGCCCGGAAGCCGTGGTCGATGACCATGACGTCAGCAGGAGCCCGGCGACCCGTCTCGCCCCCTGGCGCGCTCGCGTCGTCTGCCAGCTGCGCGAGGTACCGATCCAACCCGACCCAGGACGCGACGTCGCCTTCCATGAACGCGAGGAAGGGGGGGCGCTCGCTGGCGGCCGCTTTAAACGCGTTTGATTCGTGGCGCGCCTGGTCGTCCGGAAGGCTCCTCGGCCAGTAGCCCAGCTGGTGGAAGGGGATCTTCGTGCGGTTGAGCTCCTTGAGGAAGAAGTACTCGCGCTCCCTGTGCACCAGTCCCAGGAACGTGACGTCGTGGCCCCTTGACTTGAGCTCGGCCGCAATGGAGACAAGAGGTAAGAAGTGGCCTGAACAGGGGGAGGAATAACGCGTCAGCACCTGCAATCCAGGTTTCCGTCAGGTAGTCACGATTGATGCACTTGAAGTATCGGGCGTTTGACTCGGAACCCAGCTTGAATCGCTGCAGGAGATTGGAGGTGCCGTGGCAGGATCAGGCAGAGTGACATGGATACGGATACTGTTGCCTTGCAGCAACAGTGTAGTGTCAAACGATGTCACGGAGTTGATGTCATGTCACTGGCTCATCAAACACCCAGCTTGAAGTGTGGCGCACAAAACCCTGACGGAATGTTCACTGGGAGCAGGCAATCAGACTATAACACTGGATGTCGCCCCAGAATGGAAACCTTCTGATTCGATCCTAGGAATTGGCAGGGTTGCCGTATGTGCTGTCGGACTGTGAACGCTGCCTGCTGTCATCCGCAAGGCCGAAGGAACCGGCCTACGCATCTCTCAGATTTGCAGGTCCGACTACCTACTGTCAATAAGGCTCGACCACCACCACACACAAGTTGCACGACCCCCTCTGTAATCTGTGACCGCTACAGCTTTTTCCGAGCAGCCTGCCAACTTCATATACAGAGGGTAGCTTAAAGCTTGGTCGGAACCAGTTTTTGCTACATGTCGATCGCAGGCTCGACCAACTTAGTCATCTGATTTGTAAAGCTTCCCTCTCTGTCTCGAATTGGCAATGATTTGCTTTGCAAATAGCTGTACCTTCCCTGTGCACAAGCTCAGCTACAAAGCTAGAGAGCTATGGTTTCTGATGGCCAATCAGGCACCAAGCAGAAAATCAAGTGCTGGTCCTTATCGTCCAAATATGGGCTGAGACGATTGAGTAGACCCTGACTTGTACGATAACCAACTTCAGACAGCTGCATACTTTGGAGCATTCAGAGCACCGACACAGAATGTTTTGAATACTGCAAATGGGTGCCAGCAAACTGCTAGGATTGCCGGGGCCGACTGAACTAAAGTCAGCTGACGTTGACCGGTCCGGAACTTCTTTTCAATGATGACGTACGCTCTCTCCCTCCAGCTCTATCCACAGCAGCATAATTATTGTGAAGGTTTTAGAAACTGTTGATCTTCTAACCCAGACTCCAGATTGTCAGAGATTGCATGGTCAAACAGTGTTGTCATGCGGGTTGCTTGCATCTCACCAGAAGAAGGGGGCGACACCACCAGGACAGATAACCGCACGGGCGCTTCACCCCCGGCATTTGCCCAGCTGATGTGTTCCTTCGAATCCATCATGCATGCTGAAACATCTGAAGCGGCTGCTATTTCTGCCCCACGGCTGGCTGAAAGGGTGCAGGCCAAAATGAGAAGTAAGCAGAGGGCAAGCTGCTTCAGGTTCACCATTGCTCTGACGCTGCAGGCGACAAACTCGAAGGACCTTCAATCTATCCGAGAAGTACCGGTACCTGTATTATATATAGACGATGTCAGCTGCAAACGTCTCCGTGTGGACTCGATGCAAGTTGCTTCAATATGTGAGCAGTGCTCCCATCGCCAATATTTTGATGCCAGGTAAGGTGATCAGTTCAATTTCAATGAACTCAACACTATTTGTTGAAGTGTTCCGCAGCAGTACCGCAGCTATCAATGATGCCGCTGGTACCGGTGGCGCCTCGGCCATGGGGACGTCATCATGACATATTTTGGCAGCGGCATACCTATATCATGCGCAGAATTAATCTTACTGACGTACGTCATGCCTGGGGCCTGGGCAGTACTGGGGGCCGGGGCAAGGGGCGCCGGGCCCGCGGGACCGGGCCTGAGTATCATGGCTTCCAGACCAAGTACGGAGTTCATCTGGACTCGGGAGCTGTCTACAGCTGTGAAGGCCGTTCACGGTTCGGCGCTGAGTACCTAGATACTGTACACTTGGGCTCCTGGGTACCTACATACCGTATGTACCGGTAAGACGGGACGCAGGAAAATTAACGGGCTACCAGCTTCATAGGATATCCTGACTTGAAATTAATGCAGACCTAAGTTCTAACTTCCAAAGTACAGACAGGGACAGGCCGCGGCGGCCCGCCCCAGCCAGCTGAGTACCTACGAATAATTGGCTGAGCCAACCAGTACCGTACCGGAATCCAGTCCGGCACCCCGGCCGGGTGCCACTCAGAGTACCGTAGCGGGAAGGGAACAAGGGAACTCATCTTTTGATACAAGTTAGTACCTACGTCGTTCAAGTTTGAGGCCTTGGAGGGATTATGGGGTAGTCATTTTGGGGATCCCAAATAACGCTATCACCAGCATGGCGCATGAGGTAAAGCAATGGGTTAGGTTCAAAGGAGAAATCTTGTACTTGTAAGAAACGAAAATAAGTATATAGGCGCGAGGCTTGGAAGGTGGGGGCACTGGGGCCGAATTCCTTGTCGTCTTTTGATTTTATACCGAATAGAAAGGGTGTGTTTACAGGCAGCTAATACAGGATACCGTACATGCTCCTTGAGCGGCCGCGAGCTCACCTGCTCAAGCTACATACAAGGGTCTGGGTGGCCGTCTGCACCCCGGGGCTTCAGGCCCTCTAGTCTCGTATCCTGAATCCTTTTAATCTTTCACTAGTAGTGGACGTGCCAAGTGCAGCCAGCTGATAGCATTTTGCAATTACCTGCACTGATTGCTCTCCTCTGCGACTTCAAGTTTGCCCTTGTCCGGGGCGCCGGCTTAACGTCTATATATTCAATCCTCCCAGCTCCCGCAAAGCTGACCCCGGCCCGGCCGCGCCACAGGATGCAGACTGCGACCGCTCCATCTGGAGTACTGCACCAACGTTGGACTCAGCTTGCGCCAAACTGTCTTACTAAGGACCCGCTTGACCAGCTCAGAGGAGGGAAGCACTGCGTTCGCACGCAACCAGCGGCGCCGGTCCGTGTTGCTCGTGTCGGTTTCAGGGGAAATGGTCGCACTGCTCTATCCCGCAAGGCCGGACACTTAAGGGCTCAGGCTCAAAGTGATCAGAACACGATAGCCCACGTGCCGGACTCTGTCGAAGGGGCGACATTGAGGTGAGCATTGTTTGCTTGACATTTCACCCATGAATTGAAAGCTGGGAAAGGAGATACAGATCTGCATTTGGGAGTGCCGCCAATTCAGCAGATCATTAGTAATCTATGACTTGCTGTTTTGATTGAGCTGGGATGCTCTCTTGTCTGCGTGCTTTTCTAGATCTGCAAGCTTTTGACACACGTCAGGTCTCATGTCGTTGTCAAAGGTCCGCTCTAGTGAAGGGTTACTACGGCCGTGCACAGGAGGCGGGCATGAGCTTTGCCCTTGCAAGGTAGCAGAACGTCATTCCAACATTTGTGACCACCATCACTGCTATGAATTAATCGACTCAGCACAATGTGGACAACATTGGTCCACAGGTCACAGCGGTCTAACAGCTCGGTGGTCACTTCAGTCTACGATCACAGCATCTACGATCCAGTCACTATGGTCCACAACACTTAAGCATGGGCCCACTGATTTCACGGTTTTTCATCTGATTTGCCAACCGAACTGCATCCCCCCAGAAGCTCTTCGGCAGCTTGCTCTCGTTTACCAGCTGGATCACTTAGCTGGAACCAG